GCGCAGGCTTCCGTCCGGTTTCAGTGTGAAGAGTAGCGGGGCACCGTATGGTGAAGTGGATGGTCGGATGAGTCCTTTGGCGAGGAGATACTCGATTTTCTTCTTCATGTCGGCCAGCTCTGTCGGGCTGAGCCGATATGGTGCTCGGAAGGTCGGCTTCGAACCTGGTTCCTTCACGATCTCATGTTGGTGCGTTCGGTATGGCGGTAGCTCGTCCGGGAGGTTGTCGGGGAGAATGTCTTGGAACTCCTTCAGTAAGTCCTTGATTTTTCCTGGAGGTTCCGAGGTCTTCTCTCCCCCGGTTTCCACCTCTATTGCTATCGCCACGAATCCGGTGTTGGTTCGCTTGACGTCCTTCTCGAATCTGGCAAGTGTCTCCACTGGGATATCTCCTGTATCGTCCCAGTTGGGTAGCTGGACTCTCCTTCCTTTGTTGTAGATGCTTGCGGTGCGGTTTACCCAGTTAATCTTGGGGTTGTATCGTTTTAGGAAGTCTCGCCCGAAGATCAAGTCAAGGCCTTTTATGTTGGTGATGGGGAGAGCAGGTTTCCAGCGCAGTGGACCGATTTGTAGGTGTAACACTGCTTTGCCGTGTACTGGTAACTTTCTTCCGTCCACCATCGTTGCAGAGAATCTTGAAGGCTTGTACTGTTCCCGAAGTCGGTCGATGGTTGCCTTGTCGTAGATGGTGTGCGATGCTCCACTGTCCACGAGTGCTTGGAGGCGTTGTCCTTTGCAGATGACCTCGAGCACGAGGGGCAGGCGTTGCTCGGAGTACCCAAAGATAGTTTCATTAATGGTATCATAGGGTACATCCCAATATTCGTTGCTTCCTACTCCTGAGCTGGCAGCTGGCCGAGGCTGCTTGGAGAAAGGCTCTTCTCCAGGGCCTGGAGTTTCCGTGACAACTGTTCGTGTCGTTGACGAAGTTGCCGAGTTGGATGCATCCGAAGGAGTTCGGGGTTTTTGCAGCTTCTTATAGACCCCCAGCTTCCTCTTGAGCTGCTTCAGCTCCACCGACGTCTTCCCTGGGGAACGGGTAGTCGATGTGGGCGCATGTTTGGGAGAGGACGTTGACTCCATGGAAAGGTTGGCTTCTTTCCACACTCCTTAATTTGGTCCCCAAGTACTCCGGTACCGGTATGATATCCACAATTTTCTGCTTCTTTTGGAGTCCCTCCCGAAATTTCTCCAAGGCTCTAGCCCCTCGAGAATTACAAGTTTTCATTAAAGCATCTTGATAAGATAACTTTAACTAATCCTTATAATTTATTGGGTCTTCAAGGAGTTTCCCCGTCTCGGCAGAGTCCTTTTTCGCGGAGTTAGATTTTTCCTCGGCGAATTCCTCTGGCAAAGACTGGTCGTAGGGTGGAGATTTTCCCCCATCATTTCCTCCTGTTCACGTCAAATCAGCTTCGTCGAAGTTGATTTTCCTAGAATCCCGCGGCCGCTTCCGGATCTTTTCTTTTTCGCCAGCTAGATCCGCAATTACTGGCGAATCCCGTTTTTTGGCTTCTGATTGGCCGAATGATTTCCGCCACTGATGCGTGCCCGATACTCAGCGCGTGCGGCTTTCATTTTGTTGCAGTCGAAGATTCGATGACCCGGCACCCTGCAAAAATCACACGTGTAGTTGGTGTTTTTCGGACGTGGCCGCCCTTCGAACCTGTCGACTTCCATCGGGTCGGCGAACGTGGTGTGAGCCGAGCGATCGCCCTGTCGCGTACTGCCGACGCGCGTCCGTCGTGTCCCGGCGTTGACCATGTCGAAGCGTACCGCGGCCGATACGACGTCACTGTAGCTCGCGTAGTTTGACGCTGCCACTTGTCGTTTGACTTCGGTCTTCAGCCCGGCGAGGTACGACTGTACTTTTTCCCCTTCGGTCAGGTCGGGAATGCGGTTATAAAATTCTTCCATCTGCTGCGTGTACTGCGCTACACTCCCGAACTGTCGAGGGCGATGAGTTTTTTCCTGGGCAAGGAAACCCGAATTTATCGGCTCGAAACGTTTCAGCAGGTCGGTGCGGAACTGCTGCCACGTGGCTTCGCCATGGATGAACGTGCTGTTACCGCCGATCCACTCGAGTGCTGGCCCTCGCATCAGTGTCGCCGCGAGTCGTACGCGTTGACCGTCCCAGACAGGCGAGCTCCATCCGACGGCTGCGAAGTAGATCTCCATGCCGGCGATCCATCTGCGAACGTCAGAGTTTCGATCGCTCGGATCAAACGGCTCAGGTGGGCGCGGTTTCGGAGCCTCGAGAAACTGCTGCGACTGCTGCATCGTCGCCGTTGTCGTTTCGTGTTGCGCTCCGGCGAGTCGAGTTACTCGCTCGAACTCGTTTTGCCACTCTTCGCGATCCTCTTGCATCTCCTCCTGAAGGGCTGCGATGCTCGCGAAGAGCTGCTGGGTAACCTTGGCGTTGTCAAAGGTTGCCATCCTGTTCAAAACACGCGCGCGGGGGGGTAATTCGAAAAATCGCGGAGGTGGTGCTTACCAGAATCGGCGTCGAATTGGTCTTCCCCGGCGGCTTTTCGAGGGAGGTTTTCCCGCTGCTGCTGCTTTGTTGAGCGCGGCCGAGTGAGAAAAACTCTGATTGCCAAGTGTCACGGATCGAATGTGTCGAGGAAAGGTTGCACTATCGATCAGTACAAGGTGCTTTTATACTTCCAAAGTACATCAGGTAACTTGGTTTATCTTATCCCAAGGGAATAGACCCTTCTAGAAAATAGAATCACCCTGCGTATAGCCACGCGAGGCTATTGGCTTTAAGGGATTACGGCAGGATTACGCCAGATATAGCGTACCGGTACATCCCGAGCCTGGTCGGTGATATAATGATAATAACAGGATAAAGCAAATGATAATGGAAAATGGAGAATAGGAAACCAAAGAAGATGAGATAAAAAGAGAAATGAAATAGGAAGGAAATAAGGAAAGGCCAAGTGGTGTAACGGGGTCGTACTCTCACATCCGCCACCACCAGTGCAAGGCCACCTGGGCGGGAGACGACCAACCCGTCGCTGCTGCTGCTGGTCCAGCGGTGGAACCTACTGCTGCTGCCGGGACTGCTGCTCGGTGGTGCCAGCCCCAGCCCCCTCGTCAGCACTCCCGGCGGGTGACCCGGCTCCACCACCTCCTCCACCCCCGCCTCCGTTACCACCGCCGCGCCCAGCCTTGGGGCGGCGACCCTCTCCCGGACGGAATTGCGCTGCGGTGGCTATCTCAGTCACAGCAGCAGAACCGTCAGAGAAAGTGCACTGAGCGGGTGCACAGCCCTAAAAGATAGTGACCGGCACAGTACCGCTAGACTGGGCGATAGAGCGCTGGCGGGTCTCTATGGCAGATAGGGTGTCGACAAAGTCAGTGAGGGTGAGGTCAGCGGGGTGGAGACTAAGAAAATGATCGCGGGCAGTAGCAAGGCGGTCAATGAGGCGGGTGGCAAGCTGGTAGAGGGTAGCGCAGATGGGGAGCTGGAACACGCGAAGTTGGGCCTCAGTGCAAGCAGCGCGCCAGGTCGAGTCTAGCGTACGCAAGTGGGCGGCTAGGTCAACAACAGTGGGGAAATACGCGAGATCAGGAAAAAGCAGGGGCAGGATCAGGCAACCGACAGAGGCAGAGGGCGGGGTGGAATAGCGCGCAACAACAGCCTCTAGGAACTCCTGCGCGGTCCTGACCGACCTAAAGCGGGGACGCTCAGATAGGGGGAGGGCATGACTGATTGTGAGATGTGCGATAGCTTTACGCGACAACCAGACTGCACGGGCAAGGGCAGCAGCGGCAGCGGACTCACGGTCAGCAGACGTGAGGTCAGCGGGCAGAGCAGCAGGGGGGTCAGGGCAGGGGAGCCTACCGTCGATGTGGACGGCCAAGGAGTGGCCGTCCTGCCGCTGACCAATGAGCTGACAGCGGAGGTCAACAAGCCACGTGTCGAACTCGACCGGCTGACCCTTCGCGTCAAAGCGCAGCACCGAGTCCGCCATCAGGGTCGATGCAGCAGTAGAGAGGCGGTAGGCGGGAAGCAGTGAGGTGTAGTGCAGTAGAGCGCAGTACGGGAGACTGCAGCAGGGGAAGGTGCAGTACGGTAAGGTGCGGTGCAGGGCGGTGCAGTGCGGTGCTGGGCGGAGGAGGGCGGTGCAGCACGGTGGGGTGCAGTACAGCACGGTGCAGGAGCCGCAGGGGCCGGCTGTGCGATAGGGCCAGCTGGGCGACGGGGCCAGCTGGGCGACGGGGCCGGCATGGCGACAGGGTCCGCTGGGCGACGGGGCCGGGCGGGCGACGGGGCCGACTGTGCAGAACGGGCCGGCTACGGGACGGCTACGGGCCGGGTTAAGGACGGGCCGGCAACGCGCCGGAGACGGGCCGGGCTACGGGACGGGCCGGCTATGAGCGCGGGCGCGGGACGGGCTGGCAAGGGGCGCGGGCTCGGGACGGGCCGGGTTACGGGACGGGGCCGGCTATTGGCGCGGGCGCGAGACGGGCCGGCTACGGGTGCGGGTGCGAGACGGGCCGGCTACTGGCGCGGGCGCGGGACGGGCCGGCTAAGGGGCGCGGGACGGCTAGGGAGAACGGGCCGGCGCAGGCGGGCGGGCGGCTAGGACCTATGGCGGAAGCGCTCGTGGGCGGGTGGGACCTAACCTACTTCTGATACCATGATTGAATGATTGAATGATAGAATGACTAGAATGGGTGAGTACAATGGAATATAGCCTAATGGGTTGTACTCTCTAAGGCACAACCCTGTATAGTCTACAAGAACATACTCAGGCTCTGATACCATGTCTTAAAGCTAGGTACTAGGTAGGAGGAGGAGCCATGGAAATGGCGTGAGGTTTTAGGGTAGGAAAGTTGGCGAGAGAAAAGAGGATTAGGAAAGAAGAGAGAGGGATACAAAGAGGAGTATTGTACCCTTTACAATAGTGTTCAGTAACCACTACCAAGCCTACAATTATATACTAACATATATAATTTAATACATAAAACTAAAACTATTGGTACATCAACATAAACAAGATGAGATGCAGACTTGTCATGTCAGACCGCATAAAACTGTATAGGCACGTCCTCTGTCCGAACGCTACTAGAATCCAGTAGTAAGAAAGTATACCACAAAAAAAGTACGGAAGTATACCACAAAGAAACTTCAAAGACTGGAAAACCAGACCTAGAAAGCCTGTATTAGGTCAGGCCTGCTAGAAAAGTTCCATCCATCCATCTGTAAGAGTTGTTACAAAGGCTGTTAGCCTAAGCAACGAACTCGAAAACCTCCACATAGTTCATGAATGTAACACGCTTCGTGTTCGCCACGGCCCTCGCACATCGTAGATTCGGCATACTCGAGGCCCGAGGCGGGATCTTCCCTCCTCGCGCGGCGACTTTATTTGCCAAACCTTTCGCGGTTGAATCCGAACTCGCCCAACTGGGGCTGGTTTCTCGCTTGCTGGTGTTACGGCGATTTGCGGCGGGAGTGCTTGGGCACTGAATGCCGCGCGGGGTGGTCGCACTTGCACATGCACTGGCCTCTGTGCTGTGCCTCACAGGTGACCACGCAACTGGAGAGGCAAGCGGAATATCCAAGTCGAGCACGGAAGTTGCGCCAGCGGTTGATTCTTCCCCGCGCCCGCTTCTCCCTCGTTGCGCCGATGGTTGCATGCGCGACTCGTACTCAAAAAGCGAAGTTTCAGAGAGGCGAAGGAAGCGAAATGCCGGGTTACCGTCCACCGCATGGGGTGGGGAATGGAACTGCTCGGGGGTTCTTGGAGACCCCTGGCTCCGTCTGCGCTGCGCCTGCAGGCCACGAGGAGAGGTCGCCACGTGGCACGGGAATGGTGCTGACGCCACGGGGACAGGCAGCGACGTTGTCATGTCCAAGCTTGTTACGCGCCTCGGCACAGATTCAGGTCTAGAACTTCTAGGAGATGGGAGCGCCTCGGACATCAACGGCGGCGTCCGACTCGGAGTTGTTTGCCGCGTCGGTTTGTTCCCCGAGTTGTTGCTACTCAATACCCTTGACGATTCGGCGTTCAGAACGGATGGTGCGGCGCGGGGAGCTCCTGTCGTTAACTCCATGCCCGCCGAAGCGACTCGACGGTGAACCCCGCTCCGGCTCGGAGCCCGACTCGGAGTGGGCGGCGGCGGAAACTCGCTGGCGTCGTCTGTGAACGTGGTAGCATTCGTAGCAGTCGTAGCACTAATAGCGCCGCCGGCGGCGGTGGGGCTGGATTGCCGTGTCACGGCACGAGCAGCGGGCCGGGGCCGGGCGCTGAGCGCAGGAGGAGCCGCGGGGAGCGCCGCTCCTGCCAGGGAAACATTATTATTACTAGTGACGATTTTCGTCGGTGATGACCGTCCAGGACTCCTCGGGGATGCTGACGATGCTGACGATGCTGACGATGGCGAGTCGGCGCGCTCGGGCGTGAAGCATGGCTGCCGAGGGGTTTGCGGAGTCGCGCCGACGGCCTGAGCCTTGCCGCATGACTGAGGCGACCCGCGCGGATTACGAGTCGGGCTCCGAGTCGGCGGAGTCGACGCCATGGGCCTTGTTACCACTTCCCAACTATTGGAGTGCCCGTGTGCCATCTGTCGCGTGCCATAAGGGCTGCTGCTAGTAGGAGGCATGATGGCAATGACGATGCGTTGATAGAAATGTCGATTGAGGCTGCAGCAATCGAGACGAAAGACCTTCAAGGACTGCCGCCGGAGCTTGAAAGTAAAACGAGGCCGGGATAAATATCGGCAGTACTAGGGGGGAATTCTGGTGGGGAACTGAATATCTGGATAGTTAGGAATATGGGATGTATATTTGCGACGCCAATGAAAGCGAGACATGCCACCTAAAGTAACAGCTGTGAACGAGTCGACGGAGTGTGCCGGACTGGGAGCTTAGGTCCGAACTGAACGTTCGGCTGGTGTAAAGGAGGACAGAACATTGAGCCGCGATTGTAGACTAAATTCATGAGTTAGGAAAATAGGGACCTGATTAGACTGGAAGAGACAGACCGCGGGAGGGCCACCCATCTAGTGGCTAGCCCCTATGAACCACTTGCTGTGTTTTCGAGGACTCGTTGTAGCGTAACCACGCGAATACGCCAAGTCAGGTACTACACCAGAGGTCTGAAAGAGGCCCAAGTTTTTTTTGGCCGGTTACTCCAGTAACGGACGCCTTCAAATCGCTGGCAAATTGGGCCTGAAGGTAGGACCATGGTTACCCGTTTGGCAGGACCCTTGGAACATGGAAGACATTCGTTGTTTCTCCCGTGTACCCCGGAAACTGTCGCACAATCACACCCTGGTTCCGAGTCAACCTACAATTGTTCCTTCTGCATGTTCGCTCCCAGCAGTGTCGCAAGTGGTTGAGCCGCCCAAAATTGGGCCAGTCCAGGACGGGCCGTTGCCTGTAAATCCGTGCCAGTCGGACTGACGAGTGCATGGGGGCCTCTGACGAATGGGCGGTTCACTGGACGTCATGTGTACTTCGAGGAAGAGATCCATTTATGTCACCAAGAGTTATACAAATCCTGTAGTAGAAGCTGCCGGAACCACAGTTGAGAAATCAGCTGCCGCTACACCACAGCCCATCTCGTCCAGACGCACAAAAACCATATAAAACGCTACAGACCGATTGAAACCGTATCGGAAGACTTGCTAACGTCGTTCATTCCGACGGAAGGCAGCTTTGTGCAGCGCAAAGCTTGGGCTGATAAAATCAACGTCAAAGCAAATTCACGCGGTCGGGTTGGGTTGGTTTGGGTTTGGGGGACTCGATCAACAGCATTCTGCCATTTTCCAAGCAGTCCTTCCCAGACGGGCTTGGGAGATTGCTCGGGCGCATCGTCTGCTTGTGCAGAGTCGAGTTGAGACAGCTATTTGACAGAGCACAGAATCTGATATCAATCCACAGGAGTGCTAAACAAAATGAAATCTGGTTCAAACTAGGCAGCTTTTGATTTTATCACAAACATCCAAATGTTGCACCCCAACCCAATAGGCGCAGGAACTTTGAGAATGCTTTCCTTATGGCGTACGTAATTCTGTTAGGAAGTGCACGCACGGTGACAAGTGAGGTGTTCCTACAAGAAGGTGGTAAAACATTTCTTACAGCAAGGGACTTCCTAGAAAGAAAGAAAACATCTTTGCAAGCCACTCGCATGTTGATTCGCAAGTACAATGTTGTATGATAAATGAATATATGAATATACATGTATAGACCATGTGTGGTTTTCCGAGTGCGCTGTAGAGACTGGTGTTATTGAAGTAACTAAAATGCTAGATTGTTATCATTTTCAGGGGCGTATGCGATCTACATTTGGTTGTGCACAGTTGGTTCGATTGAAGACATCCCATTTCAACCTATTTACGCTGGCAATCTTGCTAGTAAGGTCCTAGTTTTGTTTTGTTTTGTTTTTTTTGTTTTTGTTTTTGTTTTTTTAAATAATACTGAACAGAGATAACCTTCAGTCATAACCGCTTCTTATGGGCCTAGGCCTGGTATGCCATCCCCTTCCAAGCCAGCTACGCCGGCTTGATGAAGGTACGCGGGTTTGTCCAGATGGACTGGAAACCCTCGTTCCACATCATCCCCTTTGCTGAGTTGTCAGTGTCATAAAGTCACCAGTCCAAACCACTTGGACAAGAAGGGATGTCATCATGAGGGTTAGGCTCCATATATCCACCTTCCCCAAGGAAAGCCTCCCCAGTACCCTCCCTAGAGAGAGAGAGAGGATCGACAGGGTTATCCCAGTGCCACGACACACCCCCCTCGCTGGGATAGCGTGTATACCAGGAATTGAACCCCGGATGGCTCTGATACCATGACATAAAGTCACCAGTCCTAACCACTAGGACAAGAAGGGATGTCATCAGGAGGGTTAGGCTCCATATATCCACCTTCCCCGGGGAAAGCCTCCCCAGTACCCTCCCTAGAGAGAGTGAGAGGATCGGCAGGGTTATCCCAGTGCCACGATAGTCACGCATGCGGCTGAGCACTAGGACCTCGTCCTCTGCCGGTTGTGCATGCACCTTTCCTTCCTGCCTCCCCCTCCTTTCGGCTAGCTTTCCACCTTTCCTCCTGTTTACATAAGCACCAGCATGACGATTAAACGCCACACTAACCTGCTGTAGCGACCTCTTTACTTGCAGCTGCTCCCCTCTAAAAATTGCATCACACATATCTAACAAGATCCTATGGAGTGTAACCGCTGTAATCGTTGCCTCAGGAAAACTGGACCGAGTTGCGGTGACCGAAAAAAAGCCAACCCTTAATCGACGTCACATGTCTCATGGGATTGAGAATGGCAAGCAATGATTTCAGCATCCCCACCAACGGCTGAATCTCAGCACACTCGTACAAGCAGTGAAAGAGGGTTTCCTCCTCTCCGCAATGTGGGCAGCACCCCTGATCCCCAAGGAACTTCAGCCTCTCCCCCACCTGTAGATTACGGTTGTGAATCCTTAGCAGCATATCCCTTGGCTTGGACGACACCACTAACGAGTCGCGGGCTCCAATTCTGACCAGGAGTTGTGATCCTCCTTAATCCTTGTGTCTACCAGGACCATGATATCAGCTGCCTACCGCAACCAAGATTTAGTATTATTCTGCTTCCCCTTACTCCCGAGTCCGTTCACATTGCACTCTTCGTCAGATTTATTTGCGGTTTTATCCATTAATCCACTCCAATATAGCCCTCTCGCATCCACAGGGCGGAACCAGATCAGAGCACATGCCTACAACAACCACTACTACAACAAACACTTACCCGCACCAACTGTAAGCTCCCAGCTGCAAGAAACAGGTGAGAACTACCCACTGAACCCCTGCGTAGAGCTCTCTCCCAGAGTTGCGACCGCGACACTTTAGGCTACCAGCTTGTACTCCTTCTTTGCCATCGCCAAAAACAACATCCCCTTGCTGTTGCGTGTTGCAGAACTCTTGTCCCCAACCTAAGAACCATGGCAGACCATCTTGATGTGATCCGCCGCTTCCGCACAAGTAAAGCCATGCGCCCTGTCGCACCCTTCCTGAGTATAAATCCACGCTTCGCAGTTGCTTCAAGTAGAAATTAGCACCACCGCTGGATCCTTCATGACAGTCTTCGCAAGGCCTGCAGACTTTTGCGAGATCGCTGCTCTCGGAAGTTATGTAGAACAAGTCAGCGGCCATGTGAGTGAAAGATAACAGCTGCAGACTGGACGATAAGCAAAAGCCGAACTCGTTACCGTTAATCGCATGCACCCGCTCTAAGGTGAGGCTCCAGTTGCTAATGTTTATCTGACGCTCCTGAACATACTCGTCATATTACTTGGTGAGGTGAGTCCCGTTGCACAGACCACACGTTAACGACAGATAATGAATCAAGAAACATCTCCTAGGATGTAGCGGATCATCAACAGTGACACTCAGACAAAAATTGTCCTCAGGATAACGCCACACCAACCCCTTGATTTTGCCTGTGTCCATCCTTAAAGCTGGATCCACCACCTGATGAAAGAACTTCCCGTCCAAGAACAACGAACGACCATGCTTCACCAACTTCGTCTTCACCAACAACTTCTTGATCATTTCAGGCGAGACTTGCTGCTAGCCAAGCAACACCCGTTTCCTATCCAAACAGGAATGCTCCACATTCTCTCGCCAAATACGGTTAGCATCATTCGCACGTTGAAAAGTGACACGGAGACGGCCGAAACGAAATTTAGAGAAAAACACTCGCTTCAGTTGCTGGAACTTTGTCGACTCCAAAATCCCCGATGACAAATCCTTATTGAAAAACGTGATCAGAGCAACGATCGTTGCCTGAATCCTCAAAATTTCCTTTGCAAAACTGAACGAGACAAGCAAGGTCCACTCACAAATTTGGTATAGAAGAACACACCCTACAAATGGGAACCAAAACATCAAGAAGCCGTGGAGCAACTGAAACATGCTCTTACGTCCGCACTAGTACTCACCTTGCCAGACCACAAACGCGACTACATCATCGAAGCTGACGCCAGCGACCAGCCAATGGGAGTAGTCTTCATGTAAGACCATGGGAATAAACTGCAACCAATCACCTACCTCAGCAAAAAGCTACACAGGTCAGAGTTAAATTACCCGATACATGACAAAGAGGCCCTTGCTATTGTCATCGCATTCAAAACATGGAGTTGCTATCTCGAAGGATGAAAAACGACCGTCTACACCGACCTCTGCAGCCTGAATTACTTGAAGACATAGTCAAACCTCTCCAGGCGACAGGTCCGATGGATTGACTTCCTCGAGACGCACTTCCACTACGACATGGTGTACAAGCCCGTACATAAGAACAAAGCAGACACTCTCAGTCGGCCTGCACACGCTGCCACTATTTAGGTCGAAGGGATAAACCCACTACTCAAGGGAATCTTCACAGACGGGTACACCATCGACCCCAAAATTCCCTTGGTAGAGAAGCGACACTTGCTCCAGTGGGACGGTAACATCGTGTACTGGAAATGATCAACGAAAATATGGGTACCCAACCACCCACCTTTGCGTCAATAACTTTTTGAAGAATACCACGATGTCCTGTATGCAGACACTTCGGTAGCAACAAGGCACTCACCGGTATTGCAAAAGACTACTACTGGCCTCACATGGAAGACGACATACAGAAATTCATCACCTCGTATCGCATGTCAGCGGATGAAGACCATTAAGCAGAAGAAAGCACGACTACTATAGCATCTTCCTGTCCCATAATAGCCATGGCAAGTGGTTAACCTAGGTTTCACAACCATGTTACCCCCTTACCACAAACGGTTGTGACGCAATCCTTGTC